GGCGAGAAAGAGCGTGTGGTGTGCTTCACACTACCACCTGGGTCAGCAGCTGTCCTTCGCACACTGCCAGGCTTTGAGTCATATGACGAATCAAAGCATTGTCTTCGGTGTCTGAAGCCGGGGACGGGCACGAAGGATGCTCCCAGGGCATTCTCGCTGAAGCTCAGGTCCATCACTAGGAGCTTTGGGCTACAGCCTACTTCATACGACGAAGAGTTCGAGATGAGCTCAAACCTCTTGACAGCCAAGCACGTTGATGACATCAATATGACTGGGAAGGAAGAGGCTATTGACAAGTATGTCAAGTGTGTTGAAGATACGTTTGGGAAGTGCAAACTGAACAAGCACACATACACAAACTGTGCCGTTCGGTATAACAAGACCGATGATGGGAGCGTCACTCTTGATCAGGACGAATACATCAAACAGCTTCGTCCTATCACACATCCAGAACTCACAGGAGCTGATCCTGAGAGCAAAGCGACAAAGACGATTTCTGATATGTTCGTCAGTCTTCGTGGCGCTCTAGCCTATGCGTTGATCACGCAGGTATGGCTGATGGTCTATGTTGTCTCACTACAACGTATCCAGGAACCGACAAACATCCAGGTACGACGACTAAACGCGGTTACCAGAAAACTACAGGCAGGTCCGAAGAAGATCGTGTATCAAGCTATGACCCCAACAGGAGAAGTCGACCTGCATAGCGATTCTGGCTATCGTCGTCTCAACGGAGATGAAGACGACGAAGTCAAAGGCTATGGTATCCGCGGGGCTAACCTGCTGAGGCGTGGCCACACGCAAGCGGGGAAACCCGTCGTGCACCTGGTGGACGCATACTGCAAGTCTCATCGACTGCAGGTGCGTTCGAGCTACTCTGCGGAAACACTGGCAGCAGCCCACAACTTGGAAGACTGCTACCCGACCATTGTAACGCTCCACGAGCTACACTCGGGACCATTGACCCCCACACAGTTAAAGAACATATTGGAAATGGGTGGTCTATGTATCAAAGTCACTCTGACTATTGATGCCGAGTCTGTCTTCAAGTCTTTGTCTAGCAAAGATCTGAAGAAGCCCACAGAATGTACTCTGCTTGGGCACATTAGCTGGATCCGCCAGATGATGGAGCGCGGAATCGTTGAAAGCGTTCAATGGTGTGACACGCGGGATATGACTGCCGATGGTCATACCAAAGGTAGTATTGACCGCGCGTTGCTCCTACAAGTAATGGCCGGCCAGCAATCCTTCAAGCACGAGCTGAAGAAACATACACCGTATAGGGCGGGCAGGTCGTCTCAGGACGGCCCTGCCTCCCGAGCTAGCGGGGAAACCCGCGGGCAGGTGCGCTTTAATAGCGAGGAAACTCGCCGGTAGCGAGGCTACTCGCGCGCCCTTTCCTTGTAGGCAGCCGCTGCTGCTTAACACTGTTTTTCCGCATAATGTAGAAGTGCGGCGCCTGCTCGTCTCCTCCCCCTCCGACTTTAAACGGAGAAGGTTAAAGGCGAGGTATAAATCGAGCATGTACCGCTGCCGTGCCTGGCTCAAGCCGGGCCCGGCCAAATATGTGATTGTGCCTCACCGAGGCGCGCGACTTGCATCTGAGATCGGAAAATACCTTTTCCATTGACGATGCCCATCCTATCCTTTACTCCAGATCCCATGCTTCGTCTTGCTCTCTTGCTCATGCGATATGAGCCAAAGCCTGGGATATGGCAACGCTTAAAGCGTAACACATACCTAAGCTTACCAGTGCGTTTTCGACTTCAGAGTGCAGGGGCGGCGGGGAAGTCGGCAGTCTGTTAGGCTCTGAAGAAGCGCGCCGCCGGCGCCGAATTCTTAGAAGTATCAAAGTGAGGGGGCCGAACGGTCATTCATTGTCACTGGGTGCGTGGCTGAATTGGAAATCCGTGGTGAGGATTCAGCTTGTTGCGTTGTTAATGTTGGTGTTGTTGTTGTTGTTGGTGGTGGTGGTGGTGTTGTTGTTGCTGCTACTTGCTAATTGTTGTCGTCGTCCCCCCCGCGACCCACCCCCGTGACCCACCCCTCGACCCACCCCGCGACCCACCCTGCGACCCACCCGCGACCCAACCCGTGGCCCACCCGCGACCCACCCAGCGACCCACTTGAGACCCACCCGCGACCCACCCGAGACCCACCCCGCGACCCACCCGCGACCCACACCGCGACCCACCCGCGACCCATTTGAGACCCACCCGCGACCTGTCCCGCGACCCACCCGCGACCGATCCACATGGGTTTGGAGAAAAAATGGCGCTTGCGGCGGCGCCTGCGGCGGAATTCTTCTTATCCGCATCGGCGGGTTGCTACGTACAACGTGCCCGCTGCAGGCGCCGACTTTTTCGATAAAGCAATGTGGATGGGTCGCGGGGTGGGTCGCGGGTGGGTCGCGGGCCAGGTCGCGGGTGGGTCGCGGGTGGGTCGTGGGTGGGTTGCGGGTGGGTCGCGGGATGGGTCGCGGGTGGGTAGCGAGGTGGGTCGCGTGTTGGTCGCGGATGGGTCGCGGTGTGGGTCGCGGGTGGGTCGCGGGTGGGTCGCGGGCGGGTCGCGGGTGCGTCGCGAGACGGGTCGCGTGCGGGTTTCGGGTGGGTCGCGGGAAGGGTCATGGGTGGGTCGCGGGTGGATCGCGGGCAGGGTCGCGGGCGGGTCGCGGGGGGACGACGACAACAAACGGCAAGTAGCAACAACAATAACAACAGCAGCAGCAACAACAGCAAGAATTCTCACCGCAGAACTTGACTTCAGCCACCCTCCCAGGGACAGTGAATGACCGTTCGCCTCCTCACACTGATATACGTATATTTATACACATCTGCACATAACTATACGACCACCCTTCGGGTAATAAGGAGATTGTGGGGGTGGAGGGGGGTGGAACCAACCTCTGACTCAATCGATCTCACTACCGATCTCACTCAACGGGACACCACGGGACATTTGTCGATCTTACGATCGGTCTCATTGTCGATCTCTGTCAACGGAACACCACGGGACACCACTGGCCACCACGGGACACCACGGGACACCGCGGGACACCTCTCGATCTCACTATCGGTCTCATTATCGATCTCACTATCGATCTCACTCAACGGGACACCATAGGACACCTCGGGGCAACACATCGATCTCAGTATCGATCTCACTATCAATCTCATTCAACGGGACACCACGGGAAACCACGGGACACCTGTCGATCTCATTGTCGGTCTCATTATCGATCTCACTTTGTAGGACACCACGGGACACCTCGGAGTACCACATCGATCTCAGTATCGATCTCACCATCAATATCACTCAACGGGACACCACGGGACACCACGGGACACCTGTCGATCGCATTATCGATCTCACTATCGATCTCCCTTTTTGGGACACCTCGGGGCACTACATCGATCTCAGTATCGATTTCACTATCGATCTCACTCAACGGTACACCACGGGACACCTGTCAATCTCACTATCGATCGATCTTGCTTTTCAGGACACCACGGGACACCTCGGGGCACTACATCGATCTCAGTATCGATCTCACAATCGATCTCACTCAACGGGACACCACGGAACACCATGGGATACCTGTCGATCTCGCTATCGATATCACTATCGATCTCACTTTTTGGGACACCACGGGACACCTCGGGGCACCACATCCTCCTCAGTATCGATCTCATTTTCGATCTCACTATCGATCTCACTGTCGATCTCACTCACGGGACACCACGGGACACCGCGGGCCACCGCCGGACGGACGGACGGTTGGTGGAGAATCATTTGTCTTGTTTTCGCCCTAGCAACGGCGGTCACCACGGGACACCGCGGGACACCGCTAGGGCCACCGCCAGACGGACGGACGGACGGGAGCAAATGCGAGTTCATTCTTCTCGCGCGACCACGCAGCTTCGCATCGCCCGCACGCAGGACACGAACGAAACGAAACGATTTCCCGGTTTGGGGTCTCCGTTCCATTGCGATCTCACCCCCCAACTTGCGACATACGTACATACATACATACATACATACATACAGACAGACAGACATACAGACAGACAGACAGACAGACAGACAGACAGACAGACAGACAGACAGACAGACAGACAGACAGGCAGGCAGGCAGGCAGGCAGGCAGGCAGGCAGGCAGACCGACAGACAGACAGACAGACAGACAGACAGACACACATACACACATGTACACCTACATACATACATACGCACATACATACATAACTACATGAATATCTACATACATACATTTATACATACATACTTACATACATACATACACGTATATCTATAACCCAGTGCTGGGTTTTGCCAGACATGTCCCACCTCAGCATCCGTTTCTACTCCCCCTATCCCCAGCACGGCGTCGTCCCAGGCATGCAGCGTCCTGAACAATCCGCACGACGGTGTTTTTGCCATCTTTTGGCCGTGGGGGGGCCTTGCTTGACCCTGGGGCGGTCAAAAAACCATCCGCGATGAAGCCAGCCCTGGGGAAGGGGTCGGGACTTGGGCGTCGCGTGGCGCAATGGGGGGGTGATATCATTTGGGGGGGCAGCGAGGGTTGCAGCACAGGGGCTCTTCATTGCCCCTAAAAGGGGCCCTTTCGGGCCCCACAGGGGGCCTGCAGGGCCCGCAACGGGCGCCTTTCTTCCCACCCCGAATTTACCGATTTAGCGACCCCCACATCAAGCGACGCCCGCAGGACTTCTGGGGACCGCGCACGGAAAAGCGTCGGGACGTCGCCCGTCTGGGGCGGCGCCCCGACCTGCCTCCAGGCCCACCAGAGAATGTTCTAAGAGCCATGCGTGGTCTGCACGAAATGCTCTGAAAGCATTGCTGGACGAGACCCTCTTGTCTCGATGCATCGGCTACGTGTTTTAAGAGCGGTGTCTCCTGGCCTCGGAGAACACTGCTTTGTTCGAAGAGCATGTCGTGGAAGGCCCATCGGGATGTCGGGGCGGCCGGTCCCTGCTCAAAAGGATGTTCTGCTCCGAGCCCGCCGCGAGCGGCTCCGGCAGCCCGCGTCCGTCTTCTGCAGCTTCGGGGTCGCTGCCGCGTTTGCTGGTCGGGGGGCCTTGTAGTATAACATCGGTTTGCCACGGAGTGCCCCTCGAGGATTTTACGAATCGCTTCGCTCATCCCGCTGCCCCAGACTCTTTCATCCCGGGCGTTTGTCCGCGTATTCGTTGCGACCGCGGCGCTGATTGGTGGTAGTACGTAGGCTCCTTGAAGTTTTGCTTGAGCATTCATATGGGTCATGGCCGTCTCGGGACACAGGGCTCGAAATGGCTGTTCGTGTCCCCCCCCCCGCCCCTCGGGCCCCTCGTAAGCTCCCCTTGAGGCCGTGTTGGGCCCGTCTAGATTCCCATTGGGGCCCTCTTGGGTTATCTTGGGAGCTTCTTGGGGGCTCATTGTAGCATCGTTGGCGCTTGCCTGCGTGCTCGCGGAGGCATTTTTTAGCCTCGTGGGGCCTTGGGGTGGCATCTTGGGGGCTTGGGCGATCTGCTGAGACTTCCTTGGGGGCTTTCTGGCGGTGTGTGTGGGGGGGGGGCCATATCTGTTGGGAAAGGCATCGAAATTTCAGTTGGGGTCCCCCCCCTTCGGATCCTCCTGGGAAGTTTGGAGGCTGCGTGGGAGGCCTCTGGAGCCCCCGGGGATGCCGGCAGCCGTGACGCCGCCCGCCCAGGAATTTGCGAGGGACCTGCCCGTGCCCGGGCACTGCCTGTGGACCGCCCGGGGTATGTTCCCGCGTTGGGACCTCCAGGGGCCGCCGCGCGCGTGCGAATTGCGACCGTCGACAAAATTAACTTCAATGTCGTGTCGACCGGCGGCGACCCCGACGCCGGCGTTCAACGTTGAACGCCGGCGGAGGCCCAGAATCGGTCGATGTTGAACGATCGGACGTTACGGAAATGGCCGATCGTTCAAGGTTGAACGATCCTCGCGGCGTCAGGGACCAACGCCCAGGTCGACACGGCACGAACCTGCCGTACACAGCTCCCTTGTCAATGTAGTAGTGATCTGGGTTTGGGTGACACTGCGTGCCAAGCATTTACTTGCTGGCACCTCCCCTCCAACGTCGGCCATCGTGGAACCTCCGAGTCGCACCCGCCCAGACCACGTTTCGATCTGCTTCGACATGGAAGGTGGGCGACGCTGAAGGGGTGGATGGGGGGCGGCATTGAAAGGGGGCGTCATTCACTGTTGAGGTTAATGTTGTCGAGGGTGGGCCGTGTAAGTCGAATGCGAGGGCGAGGTGACAAGGCGGCTCTTGCCGCATCATCCTGATTGTGTGCACGTTATATTAACGATGGCGGGTCAGTAGTGTCGACATCGTTGATGACGACGACGTCGATGATGATTTGGCCAGCTCAGTGTTTCGTGCACGCGCGTGGAGGCATCCCCTCCCTGACGCCCTTCGTCCAGTCCTTCTGTGCGTCTCACAGATACCACAAGTCATCCGCTCTGTTCGCACTCACACGCGCAACGGTGCGTCGGCAGCGTGTCGTCCATGCGATCCTTCACCTCGCGCCAGGCCACTTCGATAAGGTTGAGTTCCGGGCTGCACTTCGGGAATTCCTCCATCAACTGGATGTTCTATTCCTCCATTGCGTCCCGGACTCTTCTGCCCACAGACACCCCTCGTGGTCGTGCACCAGGAAGACGCGTGGACCAGGCGCGCGCTGCGCCCTTCCACTAGAGGAACTTGTTCTCGTCGGCCCAAGTGTACCACTCCGCGTTAATCACCTCGCCGCGGGGCAACACGTAAACGCAGAGTACCCCGGCAAGGAGCAATCCCCTGATGCGCACGTCCGCAACGCCCCTGGGCTTTTGCATCGACAGACGGCGATGCTATCCTGGAAGAGCGAGCGCATCGTGGCCATTTGCGGCTCGCCACACGTGCGTTACAAGGGCGGCTTGGCGCTTCTCCAAGCGTTCTTGAGCCGTCCGTGCAAGGTAGAAGGATTTCCCGTCCGTGTACGCCTATCTCGACAGCATGGACGGCGTCTGCGACATCGTGAACACCACCCACGTTAACCTGGCAGCCACGTGCTCCTTCGACAAGAGCGTCTTCCGCAGGCGGCGCAGCCCACCTCAATCCTGCTTCGCGAAGGCGTCTCTGGAGAGTGCGGGCGGTGGTTTTGCGGGTCTCCTTGATAATCTGGCGGACGTAGGTTGCGGTCACGGCCGCGTTTTCTCGCATCTTGCGCACCAGCGGGCCGATGGCCTTGCGGAGTCTCTCGGGGCCGCCTTGGGTGCCCAGTCGGGGTGCCGCCCCGTGCAGATCCGCCGTGGGCCAGCCTTGCGGATGGTGCCTTTCACGACGATGATCGACGGGAATTTGCCGTCGTTCTTCTGCATTTTGGCTTCGATGTCTGCCATTCGGGGAACAAGCGACGACGTGATTATAAAAAACTCGGAGGTCCGCGCTGATTTCGCGGATCGGAGCTGGGCCCCCCCTCGCGCGCGGAGCGCGCCAAGGGCGGCGCCGGAGGCGTCGCAGGGGGGCCCCGGCGCCGATCCGAGGGATCCGCGCGGATTAGGAGGAGGAGGAGGAGGAGGA